CCGTCCGCATCGGGATCCTCCTCGTCGCCCTCTTCCTCGGGCTGATTGTTCTCGTAAAAGGCAGCATTGTGGTGCTCCGGCTTCAGCTCCAGCTTGATGCTCAGCTTGGGTAAGTGTGGCGTGGTCTTGAGCGCAATTGTACGGGATTTGACTAGAATGACAATGACAGGTGCATAAGTTATAAGTAATGATATATGCGAATTTCACGGTTTTAGAAATAAAACTCACCCGACTGAGTGCTATTGTCGTTTGGAGTTTTGCCTCCGACTGCTCCCTTTTTGGGCTTTCGTTTTCGCTGTATTTTGGGCTTTGGTGCCGGTTTCGGGGTCTGCTGATGTGCAACCCTCGGTGGGCCTTCTAGCTTGTGGTTCACCAATACACACCATCCAACTGGATATATATCGGCCGATTCGCAATCCAACCACTGGTCGTACTCATCCGTCCACCCGTCAAAATGTACTTTGAGTAATCGACCCACCACTCGCGCCACCGTGGCCACGCAGACGAGACGGGGATCCATGAGATCTGCACACTCCAGACTCATGCCCACTTCGAATCCATGATCAGGAATAATCCGATGAAATAGATGCTGGCCGGCGGCTACGGCTCCCGTGTCCCGCAGATAGCCCTCCCAGGTGAATGTACGAGAGTCGTAGCCGTTCGGTGGGGTAACCGAAATGCTGTTGACGGAACAGAATCCGGCCGGAAAGATACATGGACTCTTTTCATGGTAACAGAACCTAAAAAGACAACAGAGGCTTGTTGATTTTGCTGACTTTAATTGAAGCCTTTAGAGCTCACCAATCCGACCCTGAGGCATCCGGTTGGTAGGAATCAATGCGTATCATCATGTACCCGAACTTGAGAACCGCCATCACTGTAGCCGGGCAAATGGATGATAGATTGAGAGGATCCACCGCTTCCAGCTTCATGCCCTCCACAAAGCTATTGGTTTTGCCGTCACTGTAGTATTCGTCGAATGTGAAGTTCATCTTAAACAGCTCGATTGTGGCGTCGTCCTCATGAACTTCGATCATGGCTTCGCGACCAGCTGAAAGTGGTTGTCGCAGATTAGATACATGGAAAAAGTTTGTGTCCAGAAAATAATGTAAATATTATTTATATTAGCCCACTTACCCAGCATGCGCTCCAAATAATCTTGCGGGGCAGCCAGATTATGGCCAACTGTGGTTGCCCAGCCGACTGGATGGATGATGGGCGAGTCCTCGTGACACCAAAAGCCATCGTCGGAATCGAAGTACCGCAGGAAGAGACGTTTTCCCACGATCTTGGTGACGGTGGCCAGGCGCACCTGCGAAATGCGATCCTTGTCCACGCACTCGAGATTCAGGCCAAGGCGGAATCGCGACTGGAGGCTGTCGTTGATTTTGTTGTAAAAGTTGGAGGGAAGGGTGCGGGCTCCGGATAACCGACCAACCAGGAAGTCCTTCCAGTCCTTGTACTTGTGCTCGATGGTGCGGGGCGGGATTAGTGGCTTGCCCCGAGTGGCGCACCAACCCACCGAATGCACCTCAGCGTTGCAGAGGTTCACCCAGAAGTCGTGCGAGTCCGTATCGAAACCCTCGTAGCTCATTAAGGCCTTATAGCCTTTGATTTCCAGGATGGTGGCCACCCAAAACGAGGTAGGAGTCTGGCCCGGTTGGATCACTTCGATGCTATCGCAATCTGTATTTTCCACTTCAACCTTCATGCCCACACCCAAATTGTCCCATACCTCGCAACCGGGTGCATGAGGAAAACAAGTGACAGGTGCCGCATTAAAGTTCTCCTTGCTAAGGCGGGGCAACCAGTCGTAGGAGTGTGTGGGATCGTACATCCGCCGCCGAATGCTGATTATCTTCTCCATTTGCGGACACGGTACCGGAAGGCGCTCGTACTTTGGAATTTGCGGCAGGTCATCCTGTGGGTAGATGTCCTTAAAGAGTCGCAACGCCTTGGGCGTGGGAGCTGCGCTCAAATAAGAATTGGGTGTGGATGCTCCCTCTTCGGTGCTTCCCGGAGCTGTGGCATCTCCCACTGCTCCGCCGTTCAACGCAGCAATTGTTTCATCTGCTGCCATTTGTACATTAGTGGCAGCTGCATCGCCGCCTAGCGACATGGGTTCGCCGAAGCTATTCAACTGGGTAATCTTCGATTGATCCGTAATGCGAAAACGGTAATTGGCATTCTTAATGTGCGCCGCATGCAGATCCAGCTCAATATCCGACTGCGACTGTTGCTGATCGCCAGGCAAATCGGTTGACTCTGAGCCCGCTCCAGGATCTGGGGAACTAGTGGTTGCCTGGTCTCCCTCCATCTTAGTATTAAGTACCAACGAATAGAGTTCGCCTCGGGCACAGGCCATGCTGCAAAAACGCCGCGATTTTGTGTAGAATGTGTGCTTCACTCCAATGGCTCCGCAACGTTTACAGACAGCTGTGGAAGAAAAGAGAATCGTTAAATACACGGAAATATAAACGCCAATTTGGTATTTCATTTAACTGCTATCCTGCTATACAAACCCAAATTCTTGCAAGACAACCCAAACCAAACATTGAGATAAGTGAAACTAAAACTAGGATTTAAACTAAAAAGCTTGAAAATGAATATCGTGTAGAGAGGGTCGATTGCAGATTTACAGGGACGGTGGTTTTAATTCAAATAACCGAATAATTATTTATTACTCATACACAAATAACTATTTACCTCGTCAAATACATAAACTAGTCTATAGAGCAAGCCTTTTAAAGAAAGGCTTTTGGGATTTTAGATAAGTTAAATGTATATTTAACTGATTAATTTTAATGATATATGACTTCAACTAAGATGTCTACAATTGAATATTATTTTAAGTTATACACTCCGCCCACAATGGTCTAATCAACAATCGACCCACTCTAGTGCACAGCAACCTTACCCATGCCATCTTTCTGTATGGGGATCACCGATGGGTCAATGTTTCCCCTGTAGGCGATGGGTGTCTTCAGCACCAGTCCTGGCCTGTTTACGGGTTCGATCTTACGCGTCTTGCGTTGTGATCGCAATGCGGAGGACGTGGAGGCACTGCAGCTGGCGGTGGTTGCGGTGGAGTTGGCTCCCTTGGCCGTACTGTAGGTGCGCTGTATTTGCTTGCTGGAGCTCGCGCATGGTGCTTCAGAACTGACCATTATGTTGCCAAAGGCATTGCCATTAAGCGTACCCATCGCAGGTGCCAGGGTTGTGCCGAGGAGCTTGTGGTGTAGCAGGCCATCGGGCAGTGGAACCAAAAGATCGTGCTCAACTCCATGGACGCCCAAGCCTCCGGGCATCTGTGTCATGCAGGAAGAGGAGGACTGCGAAATGTCTTTATCGGAGGAGGTCATGAAGTCGGTGCCATCGTACGAATTGTTGTCCTCGTTCATCATCACAAAGTCGTCGATGTTGATAATCTCCTGCTTGGGCTCCAGCTCAGATCCATTATCATCAAAGTTATTGTCCCTCTGACCGTACACTTGGTCGTCATCGTCCACAACCGGCTCGCCCACACCCACGCCCATTAGACCACCGCCATGCGTGGCCAGGCCAACCATACCGTTGTCCACATCGTTATCCATTGCCTCCGCATAGTTTTGGAAGACTGCCGCCGCCGCCGACTGCTGGAGCAGTTGCTGCTGCAGGCCGCCCATGTGGGCAAATCCGTACAGGTTGTTCGAGTTGGTGGCAATCAGGGTGCCCGGCTGTACACCCAGTGCCGCAGCCGCCGCCGCCGCTTGACCAGTGAAATCTCCCCCCATTAGGCTCATCATCGGATTCATGTCCTTTTGTTGAGCAGTGTGGGTTTGGAGATTGGAGGTGGTTCAGGTTGAGGTTCGATCATTGGTTATGTGTGTTTTTGTGTCGAGATTTAAATTGTAACCAATACATAAATCATAGAAAAGAAAGTAGAAGAAATAAGTAAACAAATTCCAATCGGTTTTAACTGAGACAGATAAAAAAGATAGTTTGGAAATTTGGCCAATCCCCAAAGAGTACATATTTAAATCTAAGGAATTTGGGTTTGTTTCCGACTCCGAGGACTATCAAATATAATGGATCGTTTTCGCGATGCTCATTTAGTAGCAATTTATATTTATTAGTCTTCAAATTGAGAGATTGGCTTCTGAATCAAACCGTCTGCACTCACCAATGTTGGCTGTTGGGCGGTGAGGTCCTCAATGACAGATAGTCCAACAGTGGGATGACCCAACAGAGTGGCCGCATCCTCCAGTGTAATGCGCTCCGAATTGTACTGGCTACTCATCCACATCATGCGCAGCTCGGCTGGATTCATTCTGAGCGAATGGTGCTATCGATTCCGGATTTGTCAGTATGGCAAAACCATTTATGGGACAAGTTTCTGGGTTTTGTTCCTGAAATATTGCTTTCTATTGCTGCGGGTCGCGTTCCTTGTTTTTCTATCTCGCATTGGCTGCAAAACAAACGTATTGAAACAGTTTACTAATTTGTAATATTACAACTTTGTGTGGTTTGAAAGACGTGGCCAAGATATTCCCTATTTATTCCTATCTACATTTCAAACCTAATTAATTTTTTTCTTTGGCAGTTGTGAACTAAAATCTAGATATTAGATATTAGAGCGCATTTCAAATCGAAAACTTATTTGAAGCTGTTAGTTTATTTGACTGCAACCCAATGGACGTAAAATGCTCCCGTTTTGTTCAGTTGCGGAAAGCTCCTGGACCCGGCAAACATTCCGGCCATATGGACTGTAAATCCTGACCGATTCCCAGTGTTCCTCGTTGTCCGTTTTGTTTGCTTCCTTCTGTTCTCTTCCTTTTTTTTTTTTTTTGTTACTTTTGCCCTTTTTGCACGCAGATGCTGCGCAGGGAGGGTAGGGCATGGAAATGTGATTAAAGCCTTCCGTAGCGGTCGGAATTTCGGGGCAACCTTTGGCGTCGCCGCCGCTGGAAGTGCCCTTAAATAAAATTCGAACATATAAACGATTGATCCAAACTTTTGGTTACATTTCATGAGTTCACTCTCGAAAAGTCAATGAAGCGTTTGCGCAGACAGCGAACGCGAACACAAAAGAAAATGCACGATGTTGCTGCCCCTGGCTGCAGACTTACACTTTTGGACGTTGAACGCGTTCGGCTTGGGTTTCCCCAGTTGTTAGCACTTGCGGTACAACATTTTTTTTGCCTTTTCAGTCGATTAACAATGATTTTTACAGATTTTTGTGAGCTAACTTCTTTTGCATTTGCGCCGAGCAGGGATGGCAATTAAGTGCCAGGGCTGCACAGTCGCACAACAGCGTTTTGGCATTCTTTTGCCCGCTAAATTGCCAGGGCTGCAAAAATGGATGCGTTCAGCTAGCAGCAACAAAGAGTGATTTTTCGATGAGTGGTTGTCTTATCGATAATTTTACTGTTTATCATAGTAAAATCAAAATTCCTGGTGAAATAAACCCCATTCATGATCTTTTTTAATAACACTGACTATAGTTTCATATTTATTTATAATTTTAAGTCTTCCTAAGTAGTTTCGGTTCAGGATTTATTTCCGAATTGTGCTTATTTTTTTTATCAATTACTTAATGCTAAGTCACATATACATAAAATCACTAATCGGAGTGCTGAACGCCCCCATTCATATACTTTACAACACTGTTCGGCTTGTTTTGTTGTCAAGCAACCAGTGTTGTCACACAGTCGAGTGAGAAAAATGAATAGAAATAAATATTAGTAAAATATTAGCAGCAAAGAATGCCAGAAAATGCATCCAGCTCGATGCCCACAGAGGCAGGCTTCCGGAGCATGCGCAGCCAACTGGCGGGCAGCACCTTTGGCCAACGGCGTGAGGACATCTTTCGTCGTCTCCAGGAAAGTGCGCATCAAGTCTCGCAAAAGTTCGGTGGAAAAGAACTGGCCACGGAGCGGGATGAATCTGTTCAGGAACTTTGCGAATCCCTCGAGGACCTTATGACCTACGGACTGAGGCAATCGGCCGGCACATCCTCCTTCAGTGCCTCCAGTTTCATCCAGAACATGCAGGAGATGGTGTCTGGAAATTCGGGCGGAGGCAGCAACAACAATGACGCCACTTTCTGGGAATTCTGCCAGTCGCATTTGACGCCCCACGAACGGCAGAGGTACATAGATCTCAAGCAGATCTGGACGAATGTGGGCAGAGGACGTGCCTTCATACGCGCCACTCTGAACGAGAAGCGCCTTCATTGCCATGTCCTCACCTGGCTGAGCGACCAAGAGCAACTGCATCGATTTTACACGCCTTGGTCCCTGCTACTCAACGATGAGGCAGCCAAGAAACTGCCAGAGATCACACACTCCCTCAGGGATGTATTGTTCGCCCTCAATGTGGACACCACTGAGCTCAATGCACCGAGGAGAGTGACGTCAAGTGTTCCCGTCAAAGAGGAACCAATTATATTCACCACCAGTCCAGTGCCGGTGGTGGGACGCCAAAAAAGACCTGGTGTTGCCGTGGAACGACCCATTGAGAGCGCCAGCTCCACAGAGGACTTGCTGGGTGCTCTAAAGCCCATCGAGTCGGTGGAGGTACAGCAAATACTCTCTAAGGAATTCATCGAACAGGAGTTAGCAAAGCCACAGGAAGAAGTCAACTTTGGTCCCTTTGACCCCATTGAACCCGAGCTGGAGTTTCTCAAGACGCCCTTGCCCGATATTGGCGCGCATGTTGGAGAGCCAGAGCTTTACGAAGATCGAAGCGACACGTCCTCGCAATGGAGCAAATCGTCCTCCTCTGCAAACTGCATGGCTAACAACCAACAGCAAGCGGCCCTGGAGGAGCAGGTCAACCACCTAAACGAAAGATGTGCTCTGCTGGAAACCCGCGTAGCGGAGCTTAGCCTACAGAACCGCCTGCTCATCCGAAGGCTCACAAAACAGTTTGAGGAGACCGGCATCGACCCCAGCTCATCGCTGTGCTCCAATTTCCTGATAACCATTCCGCACGTAAAGCTGGCAAAGACACGGCGATCTGGTTCCCACTACACCTACGAGGTTCACATCACGATGAGGCAGCGTTTGGAACACTGGACGTTTTTCAGACGCTACAGCGAGTTCAACAAGCTGCACAAGTCACTGCTAAAGACCCATCCGGTGGTCAGTGCGGTGGAGTTTCCGCCAAAGAAGCATTTCGGCAACATGAACTTGGTCTTCGTGGAGGAACGGCGCCAGCAGCTGCAGATCTATCTGCTCAATCTGGTGGAGACCCTGCCGCAGGTGGAGGCCTGCAAGTCAAAGGCGGAGCTGCAAAAGGTCTTCCCCTTCTTCAGGGATAGGTAGCAATCTTAAGTAAATCTAAGCTAACCAAGCTTAACCAAGGAAGCTCGAAAAGAACAAGTATTTCTCAACATATTTTATCTATTGTGTTGTAGATATGTATCTTTACCTATATGTGTAATAATGCAGTTGGTCCAAGTGCTGTAATCATTGATATTAAATAAAGTTAAGTCTTTCATCTAGTTCAGTTGTGTTCTTTCGGTCATTTATTTACGACTCCTATTTTATTGTATTTAATTTTTGAAAGAATAGGCCGTTTTTAACTTTTGATTTAAAAGCGAAATTAAATTTAGATTTTTGTTTAGGATATAAAGTTATTTAGCTTAAATTGTAGTATTTTATTAACTGATATTTTGAATTATTAAACTAGAATCAGCTCTTTGGTATGTCCAAAAGCCCAAAGTACGGGCACACTAGCCGCCGAACAGCTGAGTTTGTTGTTATCAGCAATTTGAGATTCAATTGCGTGTACTTTTGTCGGCGTAATTAATTTCTGCACCATGATCGAGTGATTGGCTGGTCAACCACGGCCTCTCAATATCCCGATTCAATCAGCGCACTCAGTACGCGTGCCTCCGTCCCATTGCTGGGAACAGAGCAGCCCCACCTAATTGAATTAGTGCGGGTGGAGGTGGATTTTCAAGGCCGACCATGTCTGGAGTCGCCATAGCCATTAATGCGGCCATTTCGGCCGCCGCATACTTCATGACTGTGCGGATGATTCCCCGCTTCCGGGAGATGTTCATCAACGCCAATCTCTTTGGCAAGGATCTGTGCAAGAAGGACAAGCCGCAAGTGTAAGTTGGCGTTCTTTGGTGTTATAGGCTTTCTAATTGGAATGGCTCCCAACTCTAGACCTGAATCCTTTGGTGTGCTGATTGGCTGTGTGTTCCTGGTCTCCTTGTTTCTGTTCATACCGATTCCCTTTACCTTCGATGAGGCAGCTGCCACGGACGCGATTACTGGAGGCAAACCCGATACCTTTCCACATGATAAGGTATTTATCTAATTGATATATGTCTTTGTGCGCCACCTTATCGACTGTTATTCCCCGCACAGTTCGTGGAATTGATTGCCGCCCTTCTGTCCATTTGCTGCATGATCTTCCTGGGCTTCGCCGATGACGTGCTCGACCTGCGATGGCGCCACAAGCTACTGTTGCCCACTATCGCCACGTTGCCGCTGCTTATGGTGTACTACGTCAACTATAACTCCACGACGGTCATCATGCCCAACTTTGCACGGGATCTGTTTGGGACCTCCTTGAATATAGGTAGCTACGGTTCCCCAGAAACGAAAGTCTCTCAGTCAACTTACAACTTCGATGAAATGGAACTTGACAAATATTTTGATTTCTTCAAGGTGCCCTATACTATGTCTTTATGGGCATGTTGGCGGTATTCTGCACAAATGCCATCAACATCCTGGCGGGCATCAATGGCCTGGAGGTGGGACAATCCTTGATAATTGCGGCCTCCATTCTGCTGTTCAATGCCATCGAATTATTGCTCGGTCACCAGGTGGATTCGCATATATTCTCCATTTATTTCATGCTGCCTTTCCTGGCCACCACCCTAGCGCTTTGGAAGTTCAACAAGTAAGTATTCCAATTGATTTTTATTTATAAATACTGAATTGATCTGGAAGGCTAACGAATTTTCTTCTAATTATAATTAGGGTTCTTAAGTTATAAACTAATAACACAAATATCGCTTCAAAATTGTAACCAAATGTAAATTCGTTTAAATTTGCTTGCCTTCTGATAATCGGTACCAATATTTAAAGTAAATCTAAAAAGCTTTCTCATACAGATCGTGTGTGTTATATCTTAGAAATAATGCTAAATTCCGTTCAACCCATTTCACAACTTTTTCCAGCAAATTTGAGACTGCTCTCAGTTGGTTGTATCGACTTCCTCTCATAAATTCATTGTTTAGTTCTGGTTTTTCTTATCACAGATGGCGGGTCTGTCTGTCCTGTCTGCTGAGATACTAAATTTGGAATTCACCTGGCCAAAAACACAGAAGGGCATTCGCATGAGTGGATTAGGCAGAGTATGATATGATGATTATGAGATTGTTAGATTTTGATGGGGACTCAAAAGCAGGCACATATAAATATATATTCGTAGGTTTATGCTGGTTCGTTAGGGTGCCATGCCCAAGTCACACTTTGACAGGCGTAGTTAGTCTTCGTCCTGCAGGTCTTCCAGGACATCCACATCGTATAGGTTCACCAGTAGCTGGCCGTACTGGCTGCTGTGTAGCAGAGCCTCCTCCGGAGCGAAATACTTCTCGCTTTGCTCCCGCAACCGATGCAGCTGCGTAGCGCCATCGATGTGAACTCCATTGGCTATCAATTGCTGCATGTAGTTGGCGTCGATGTGGGCATTGCGGGTATCGTTGGGTAGCTTTACTGGTAGTTTTCGGTGGCTGGAGCTCTGCAGCAGGAGCACAATCTGCTCGGGAGGCAGACACAGCTCGCAGTTCCATCCGCCGTAGTGGTTGAGATCACCCAATGTGCTGCTCGCCAGCCGGCGCAGACGGTGGGCGTCCATTTGGGCACTGTGCAGGTGCCCCAAGGAACTTATCACCCCATTTAAGAGGGTCTTTTTCGGATGCTGCCAGTAGAATCCATACACGTTGTACTTCAAACGAAATTTCAGCGGCAGCACATCCTTGGCATAGTACTTGAGAAACTTGAGGGCTGCTGGCGCATAGACGGTTCCACTGTCCCCGTGGAGCAGCAGATCCTGCGCCTGCATTTGGACACCACACTGCTGCCACAGCTGCCTCCTAAAGTGACTGTAGGCTATTGAGCTGCTGCAGTTGCTCTCGGAAGAGCAACGCAGTAGCGTGTAGCTCGTTTGGCTGCCCAGCATGCTCTCCAGACTCCGCTCCTTGCTGCCGTTGCTCACATAGTATATGAGAAAGTAGTCCACAACCTCGATAAGGGCTCGAATTTGCAGCTCCAAGAGCTCCAGACTAAGGTGGTCCCAGGCGCCCAGTTCCAGCATATAGAACAGGCGGTGCAGGGATGTAGAACTGGCCTCGACCAGTTGTAGCGGTGTGCTTCCGCCTCGTTTGCTGGCCCGATTGGAAGTCATCAGGGCTCGCCATATGATCTCCGGCTGGCCGCAGTCTCTGCCGTGCCAGCCACTTTCACATCT